GAAAATTGCCAATTAAGTAAAAATTATATAGTGTTGTTGTCAAATTATACCAGGTATTTATTTGCAGATTTGGCTATGTATAGAATTGTAAGGAAAATACGGAAGATATAATAACATAAAATATTTTCCCCAATTTACATTACGATATTGTCGTACCGGTACGCGATTTTGGCGTTTCAAGTTTTAGTGTTTGCTTTATTTTCGTGTGTTTAATTTTGGCACTTTCATTGGAGGCACCAAATAAACCAAAATAAAACTACAACCAAAATAACCAAATTTACGGTATGTGTTTTGCTGTTACACCACTGTAACAGGTTAAGTAAAATGTTTTACCCACTCGCCACATTCTTTCTGTGTCTGTCTCAAGTCAGATGCCTTTAGTTTAGTGGTTGTCGTTTTTTCATGTCTGTCATGTTATTTCTGTCTAAAATTGTTTTGTTATAAGTTAGGCCATTTGTTTTCTGAATTGAATTTTTCATATTTTTGGGGGGAATTTTATAGCCAAGTCAACTGTATGTGTGTTTTTCTAATTTGCCTATAGTTGCTTAAATCCATTTCATTTAAAGTTTGGTGGGTAGTTGTCTCATTGGCAACCATACTACATCTCTTTGTTATATTATGATAACTCCTACGCATAAGAACCCCCAAAAATGATAACTCCTACGAATATTCTGTTTAATTGCAGTATTTTCAAATCACACGCAATATGCAAGAATCGAAAAGATCCAGATCAAAATGTTTACATTGTTGCTAAGAGCAAATGTACACCTATTGTTATTCGTTTAATCTTTTAGTCCAATTATAGTAGCGCATTTTCCATTAATGACTCTTATACGAGACCAAACAGGAAAATTTCAAAGCAAAAGAAATTTAAAAAAAAAAAAGCAGGAGGTCAGATTTTTTCAAAAAGGCAAATGAAGGGAAACAGAAGGACCCAGACGTATTGTCATCTTTAATAATCATTACTACTATATTCATAACTACATTGATATAGCAGCAGAGACTGAGGTTAATGATCCCCTTTATGGTAAATCACAGTCCCGGGTTGTGGGTAGAAGAATAATTGAACTAGATCTGCTTGCATCAGACATGTACTGTTATCTTTGGAAATCCCTTCTCCACCTAACCAATATACACATTTTGTAGTTAGTCTAACTCGGTTACCACGTTTTTGTTTAAGATACGCAGAGAGAGTACACAATACGACTCATGTTTATATCAACAGAAAGTAAAAACACCTAACAATAACATTATCACCAAAGAAACAAAGAAACAAATAAACAAATAAACAAAAGACAATTCTGCTTCTATTCGTACCAAATTGATTAAAATCAAACCAGAAATGATTCCATACAATTTTTTTTTAACGGTAATTTTGAATTAAATACACTTAGTTTTTGAATAATTTGTATATGATATGTGAATTTGTGTGTTGAAAAAAACACTGGCATGTTCGTTTTTATGCAATTGAACATTTTATGACAGAATGTATATTAATAAAAAAAGAAAGAAGATACAAATTGGATAATCGACCACTAGTGCATCAATTACAAGTCGAGGAACAAAGACTACAACAAACAAAACAACAGATTCATTCCACAAAACATAACACAGAAACTTAGAATTGAGTACTCTAATAATTTTCTCAATAAGAAAAAAACTATGTCATTCAACTCTCAGTTTTCAGCGTTATCTTGACAGGTGTAGAAAATAAACAGGTTTCTTCTATTCCGTCTGCAGTTTTTGGGGATAGTAAAATCTAAATTTTCGAACCATGGTTGAAACACTTGTATGATATAAAAAAAGGACATGATTTTTTCTGCTTCAACAATATTTAATTTCGAAGGGATAGCGAAATTTGTTTCCACTTTTGTGTATCTTTCCGTAGTAGTAAAATTGAGAATGGAAATGGGGAATGTGTCAAAGAGACAACAACCCGACCATAGAACAGACTAGTGAATGCAATTTTGAAGTAAAGTTTTTCTTTTCAAGTTTCAATTCAAGATTATGTCTGAATAGAGTATAAGGAGACCACAAGTATAATGTGACACTTGAAACTGCAATTTAATATTTGGTAGAATGAGAGGTGAAATGAGTTAAGACTTTTACATTTTGATAGCATCAATTCAAAGACTGATTTGTTTTAATCTAAACACGAATTGTATTCAATTTTCATAATCTCTGCAGAAATACTATCAAATTCTATGTTTTACGAACTTGATTATACACGAGGATCTCGCACGGTAAGCTCTATTCTATCACCTAGTTCAAAATTTTTAGAGCCGTATTTCTTTGCCTAAATGAATTCGTCGTTCTTTTAAATAGTGTATCAATTTTATTTTGAAAATCTGTGGACCAACAAAATAGAAAATCTTGATAATGTAAAAATATCTCATGGTTTTTATGATTTTTCCCTAATTGGTATAGTACATAGTATGTATCCTTTGTATTTTTGGCGTCTCATGCTGTTAACTTCAACAGCTCGTATCTCGAAAACGAAAACAATTAAACCCCCCCCCCCCCCCTCAGTTTATTTTAATTTTCTGGTGTATTTAACAAGCAGATTCCGTATGTGAAATTAAAAAAAAAATGTGGAGTAGTTAATTACGTACACTTCGCCTTAATAGAAACTATGCCTTTTTGAAATTTTTGTGGAGCTACATGTATTTTTTGTCTTCATAACAGATAAACTATGTCTTTTGTTTGCATATAATTTGTTGATATGCCATAATGTGTGTCTATATTGTTGTATATGGTCGATTTGAATAGATCATTAGAGCATGTGTAATATGTATTTGTTTACTAAATATCGACTCTAAATAAAACTTTGAAGTATATTGAATTGAATTAACAAGCCAAACATCTCAGGCCTAGGTCAAAATACAACAAGTCATTGCCTGCTCAAGCGTTTCTCGCCAAAAATACATTTATCGTCCTCGAGGTCAAAGTTCAAGGTCACATGAAGATCATAATCGTTAGGGGAGACTTAACCTCATGATGATACATCCACATGCCCAATATAGGAGGCCTAGATCAAAAGACAAAAATGTTATGGCCCATATGTACTATCAGAATGGATCTTGCTCTTGTTTGATGTGGGTAGGGTATTATTTAAACTGTAATAGAAAAAAAATTTAGAGATTAGATTTTTATAAATTTTTGAA